TAGATTTCTGTGATTACGTATACATATACTCAGCACAACACTTTGAAGTCAACTGTACTGGTATGGATTCTTTCCAGGGTATGGTTGGTTGAATACGATGTCTTATTATAAATGCGTGTATTGGGATTTGCTCGCCTGCTAAACCTATACTCGCTGAACAAGATACTACAGTGTCTTCCAATAAAAGTAACCTCTGTATGCGTTCGACATTCAAGATATGGTCGTCTGAGTAACGAGATAGACGTATCTATTGATATTAAGATATGTCAGCTGAAATATACATATATTATTTATGTAATCGCAGTTCCATCGGAGCTCGAGTTTATTTTAGGTAGCAGGGCGCGTCATCAAAATTGTCAATAAAAACAAGAAATGTTTGTATTTTAAACTAACTGTCGTAAACTCAGTGACAAGTATTTACATCGTCATAAGAAACATTTCCGGATGTTTGCAACTGTCGCAAATTAATTTGATCACAACCATGTTCACAGGCAGGTCTTCGGGAGAGTGTCAATTTCGTTGTGTAATTCGGAGAAGAAAAAAGGTTCTCGTGACTCTCCTCCCCAGTCACTGTGTGCACATTTTTACCTGCTATTCAATTAACTTTATACTATACGTGTGTGTGTGCAGCTTGTAGAACCACTTAGAGCTATACGTTCAATTATGCATGTATATAGACGTACATGTTGTTAATTCATCGGTAGAAAGTCTGCATGAACATAAGTATCAACCATTCAAGACTTGACAACAAGTGCACAAGAAGTACCGTCAGAACTTACAGTCAACCTCCAGGCATCCCCTCCAAAACATAGGCACTAACAACACATGTATATATAGACGTATATATATCAAAACATATACATATCAACTTCCGATACTTCAAAAGGAGGGACGACATTTGAATATCACTCCATCTGACGCACCATGTCTGAGGCAAACAAATCAGAGGCTGAGCGTTGCTTACAGATAGCGCTAAAATATGCAGCAGCCAACAACTTTGAGAAGGCGAAACGCTTTCTCAAGAAATCGGACGACATGTACCCAACAGGTGACGTTACAGAGTAATGGAATCGTATATTTACCTTGAAGTATACTTGGTAGATGCAGTATTATGGTGCAGACTTATCTGAACTATACATATATATGTTTATACTTCTATATTTAAATATAG